TCACGTGTTCTTTGATATTGTCTCCTACGGACATTTTTAAGACGGATCAAGAGCTGAAGATCGTCGTCTATTATAATTGAATCGAATTTAACCTCGCATTTTGGTACTGAGGCAGCTCTTGTTTCAACTATAGAAGTAGTCAGAGATTCAAGAGCATAATTAATTTCATCTTTGGTTTGCAAAGGAATGTTTGGATCGAAGTTATATTCCATAAATGTTCGATATTGCTCCCAATCAGCTCTATGGTAATTGAAACTAGAGCTGTTGGGATTAGAAATCATTTCTTGGGATCTTTCAAAAGTTACAGGAAGGTGATCAGAACCGAAGTCAGCATGGGTAACTAATTGTATACAATGTTGACATGAATCAGTTAAGACTAAATCAATAGTTGAGGGATTTCTTGCAGAAGAAAAGCATGTTGGGCTGTTTGGATATTGAATAGTGTAGTAACCCTCAGAACAATCATCAAACAGAATATTACCATTGTAATTTACATTATTCCATGAGCGGTGTTTTGCATTAAAATCACCAATAATGAAGAATTTAGACCTATGACGGGTAAGTTTCTGAAGGTCACCCTTGAGAAAATTCTTTTGCTGGCCTACGCATTGGAATGGCAAATAGGCAGCTATAAACGTAAGTTGCCCAAATTTTGTTTCAACAGAAACTCCCAAACTTTGGTTTCAAATGAAGAAAGAATTTTATGTTTGATTCGTCTATGAACAATGATGGCAACGCCACCACAAGCTCCGTCAAGACGATCATTTCTATAAATTAAATAATTTGCGTCCCTTTTAACCTTATGGTCAGTTTTAAGGAACGTTTCAGTTATAACGGCAATATGCACGTTATGAACTTTCAAAAAGTTAAATAGCTCGTTTTAATTTTCTTTAAAAGATCGAGCATTCCAATTTAAAATATTAATGATTTAAAATCCATTACTGAATTTCAAAGTCATGACAATATTGTTCACAAATTTTACTCCAGTTTGAATAGCATCAAACATGGAGTTAGATTTAAGCATATCAGAAATCATGTCAATTAATGATTTCTGTAAAAATTCCATTTTAGGGGCAGTAATGCTTCCTAGGTCAAAATTTAAAAAAAAAAATCCGTTAGAATTACTTTGGTCAGTATTTTGATTTCTACCCGGTGCTATAGCAGCATAGGTAGCTCCATTAACTCGCTGAAAATTGTTAGCAGCAAGGGGAGCAGGTATAGATGAAAAATTTAAAGCAGGGGTGATATTTGTACTTACGGGTACGAATGTTGAATTTGTTCCTCGCCGACTGTTGTTAACAGCAGAGTAATTTGTACCTGTTCGGAAACGTGGAGCGTTTCCTACCTTAGAACGAGATTGTAGGATCGCTTTGCGAGTCTTAAAATCCCAATTTTTACCACAATTTCAACATTTAAATTTCTTAGGATCTTCCTTCACAGGACAGTCGTCCTTTGCGTGAGAGGAATCACCACAATTCATGCATTTAGCTGGCATGTAGCATTTTTTGTTCCGTGACCCCATCCCTGGCACTTACGGCACTGAGTGAGGTTTTGGAAATTTCCTCCAGTCTTCCTGAAGTGTTCCCTCTTCACTCGGACATGGAGCATAAGGCTAACTTTAAGGTAGATTAGTTCACTAGACTTGAAGTGAACTAAATAAAAATCATTAGTAATCCCGTTGCGTGAATCGCCAGGACGGGATTTCATTTTCATTTTGATTACTTGTGGGACAACTCCAAGTAATTTTTCCAGTTCATCTTTCACCTGATCCAGGGATTCACCACTGGGGATTCCTTTCATGACAACCTTGAACACGCGTTCTGTTTTGGTGTCGTAAGTAAACAAATTATGATGCTTCTCAGTAAGATACTTGAGAAGACATTTAAATTCGTCAAAGGTTTCAGCCAATACACGGCATTCACCCCGACGTCCAATTTGTAGTGAAAACTTAAATTTGAAGAAGTTCAAAAGTTCCGTGCGAAGAGCATGAAAATAGGAAGTGGTTATCACAATAGGGGAATCTGTTCCTTCTTGGCAATTTGGCATTAAACCGGGAAAGTTTACTAAAATTTTTCTGAGCAAATCAAATGGATTGCTCAAATTAATTTCATCAGAAGGGGGATCAAGAGTTTGCCCCCATGGCGGCAGTAAATTTTTATCCAAATCGAATCTGAAGGATCGAAGAGGAATTTTCCAAATCGATATCCAAGAAGGATTACCTCGAGTAGGGTCCAAACAAGGATCGAAGAGGAAAAAGAGTCATACAAGGTAAAAAAATTACCGGTATATTGAGCACTGAAAAGTGCTGTTTAAATTTGTTGTAGCTTTAAGTAGTAGTAACACCAACAATCAATACGAAACTAACGATTTTAAATTGGCTCACCACTTCAGTAGCCGTTAGTTTCGTATTGATTGTTGTCAAAATTTAGTTTTCTTCTTTAACTTAATTTTACCTAGCTCCACGAAAGCCACGTGATGAGTGAAAGGAAGTCAATGTTGGGTTCTTTTTTCTTACCGTGTATGAAAGTTTGACAGATAAAATGAGGGTTTAGTGGATTTTCCTATGTTTCGAGGGGTGAATCGATTAGCTTGGGACCGAAGATAGTACCAGAGCTGAGCCAAAAAGTTGAGCACGTTTCTTCGATACCTTTTAGTCTTAGAGTTACCTCTATGGTGTTACCATAGAGGTAACTCTAAGACCACTGGGTCCCGAATAAAATCATTATTATTTTTGGCTCACTTAGTACCAGAACAACGGTCCCAAGCAGTTCCAAGCTATTTCACTCACCCCTGCATGTTCTGCATGAATCCACACACTTTCATACCGAATCAAAACAAACATAGTGTAGTAATAGAATTTCAACTAGAATAGGGTACGTTAATCGTTTGCTTGGGACCAGTAGGCTACTAAAAAGGTGAGCCAATTTAAAATCGTTAGTTTCGTATTGATTGTTGTTATAACTCTCCAGTCTGGACAGCGTTTTAGAGTTACCTCTATGGTGATACTCATGGTGGGTATATAAATGGTGATACCACAGACAAACAGACGTAACTTTTTATTGTGTATCTTCGTTCATGCATTTAACGGTTGATTTGAATATTATCAGTTCCGCGAACTACTCGCCGCAGCGCTGGCATCAGATCACTTTGACGTTTCTATACATTCTATAGAACTTTTATGCAATATTGTTTACGAGTTAGCGAGCAAGCTTGTTTTCCGCGAGAAGCCAGAGAGATGTCGTTACTGAGGTTATATGTTTTGAGATACTATGTTTTCAAGAACAAGTTTTTCAAAGAGTTACGTCTGTTTGTCTGTGGTGATACAGTTTTGTCACTATATAGGCGAAGAGGTCGCGGGGGGGGGGGGGGAGTGCGGTTTTAGAGCAAATTGTAAACAAACTCGGTCGGTGTCCCATACAAAAATCCAACATGGCTGAATCATGAATTTGACACATTAGAACACCTATATGTAGTCACCTTGGTGATACTGACATCAGGTGACTAGCGAAATTAAACATTTTGTAGTTATTGATATTGATATTTTGCAACACGGGTCACGGTTCCCTCCTTGCACGAAGTATTTACCTTAATCGTTTCGGACACGCATTCACCCCTTTGCCTGGAGTATGTTGACGGGAAGAAACACCGGAGCTCGTGGTTGTCAACTGCCCAATATTTGGAGCTGTGCGAAGGGAGATGCATAACATTAGCGGAGTTATCATCAACACAGAGAATGTTGTACAAGAAATGTGTAGAAACAAGGGCACATTGAATACCATCAGCAGGACTCCCGACCAAGCATTTTGTTAATTTTCTTTAATTTTCTATACATAGAACTTCAATGCCATTCATAAGGAAAATCGATAGCGATCGTCATCTTTTCATGAATAATTGTAAAGATGCTAAAAGTCTAATCGTGAATCGTAAATCTTTTCATACATGAATTCAATATTTATTTGTCATAACCATCAACCAGTCAGCCATGTAGGTGTAATAGAGGTCAAAAAGATATCAATTTTACTCATTGGGTTCCAAATGCCGAGAATCCCACCATGTATGCTATCACGAGTTATTAAATATATAGACGTAAACTTGAAGAACTACAATGGTAAACATTTGCCGCATCGCGGCCATCGGTCTTCTCATTCATTTACCGGCAGATTGCTTCTTCCGGTGAAATGCCGAATATGTCGATAAATAATTTAAATATTGCCATCTGTCACCTGGTGTGCCCCGAACTCTCTTTAACCAGCGATGCAAATCGATAACAAGGAGATTATAAATGTGCACCGATGGCAATCTTTGTTGTTCTTTGTCAAAGTTCAAAGTTACTATGATATCAGTATTTAAATATTTATTGATGAATATTTGTAAATAATATTAAAGTCCATGAGACATATCGAAATTAAAAGAAATTTAGTATGGCACCTTTATAGATTACTATCATATAACCGATGAAGAAATAATCTTAAATGTAAGTATCGATCAATAAAGATTTTTAAATGTGTACATCGAAATCATAGAAAATTTAAGGTAAAGAACTTTGAAGAAGTTTCACGAATGGTTGGTCGGACTGTAATACAAATCAAGCCAACCAATGCATTAGGTCCTAAGTAACATTGATCGATTTTCTTCTTCAACATTCTCTTTGGTTTATAACTTGGTCACGAAACCGTTTCTAACCGTGTTTGCCGTATTAGATGCTAGATAATAACTTGTTTTATCGAATGTGTTGAAAATAGCTGGAAATGTCTATACATGGCAAAGAGAAAATCGACAATGTTTCTTAGCACCTAATGCATTGTTCAGCTTGAAATGCTGATAGAGAGGAAGCGAGAGTGGAGAGACGATCAGCGAACAAGCCATCCCCCACAGAGAGTCTTACACTGCGCAAGGGGAAGGGGACACACCAGACAAGGCCTTTTGAAGCGTTCTTCCTTACTATAAAAACAAAAAAAAAGGCAAACACATTTTTTGGGATGTCAGTTTATGCGTTCAGAATAGAGAACAATCAAGAAATTACGAAATATGGTCAATATATTTTTCGAGTATCTTATAGGTAAGCTTGCAAATGCTTTTTCCTTGTTGAATTTGATCAAAATAAACTTCGCCATGAAGCACTTACAATAATGATTGCTCATCGAAGTCAATGCACCTCGGTGTGCTTATTAACGTGGATGGTTCCGCTACCAGACTTGTTGTTCAAAAACTGGTTTACGGCAGTCAACGTTGAAATGGGAATCTAGGAGAGGATGAAAAAAATATCGCATAAATTGCTATTGTAATGAGCAAAAAGTTAAAGGATCATGCTTACATTGAAAATATCATTCCAGAAGTTGGTGTTCTGAGTAGCTCCCACAGCGGTGTAAGTAGATCCTCCAGAATGGCCATTTGAGTCAAATCTGGTACTAAGGTGAGCCTGGAAAATTAATGTTCTGATTTACTAATCATTGAGGATATGTTCATCATGCTTAGATTAGCGCCATATTCAGAAAAAGTCATCATCAACTAGAAAGTGATTGCCAATAATAATACCTCTTTGCGAATTTCGGAATCTTGGTGATGTTTTGGCGCTGGAGGAGCAGGGTGCGAGTAACTAGCAGCAATGTTTGAAAAAGCTTGGAAATCGAAAAATCGGTTTAGATCTACGCTGTTCGAAACGGTGCCACCCTGCGCGCCATGATCATGGGAACTTTCAACTATTGCTACCTGCGAGTATGTTACATTAGTGTCGGGTTAGTTGCTACTACAAGATACTTCACAGTGCTTGCATATCTGAATATATATAGATTACCTTATGCGGGTGTGAGATGAACTTCTTTTTGTAAACGGTTTTGGTATGGGTATTGTAGGATGATGGTTGATGGACTGGTGGAGCTTGCAGATCGGTATGAACTTCCTTCAGCACTGTCTTTGTCTTCAATTTGGAATCGAATTCATCGTTGAAACGGGTGCGAATAGCCTGGGGTGCTGGCGGAACCTCATGCTCAAGCACAATCTGTTGGTGACGAACGCAATGAGTTATCATGATGTGTAACAATCCTCAACTAATTGGTCATGAATGAATGCAAACCTCGCTGTGTGGTGCAGCTCCATTGGTCTGTCCAATTTTCACAACTTTCTTGCTTACTCCGGGTGCGTGCGCCTCAGCGCCGAGACCACCGGCACCTCCTGCATTCTCCAAACCACCTCCAAAGGCTGCACTTGCTCCAACGCCGTTTCCTGCTGTTGCTCCGGCATAGCCTCCACCTGCTGTGCGATCTGGTTTGACATTTCATTAATAATTGTTAACATTTTCCACCGGAGTAATAAGTAAGTGCGCATTGCCTATATACTTACAAAGCGTGGTTCATATTAGTAGCACATAAAGCAAAGCGTTTACGTTTCAACGGTAGCAGTATAGCAGTTTTATTTTCCTGTTTATTGGGGTTATTTTGTCTAATTGGAGTTTTTAGACTAAGCGACAGATATCAACTAGTTCCATCCAATCAAGACATTTGAAAATTTACAATCCAATTGACAATGGCAAACGAAAAAAAAAAATGAAGATCCGAAACTAATTGAAAGAATGATTTTGTCCCGTAAGATCTGGACTGATTTGAGATTTGGGGGTAACTGTTTTACTTAAAATTGACTTCAATCTCCAATTTCTCGCGAATAAAAGCTCAATCTTGCAATCTATCAGTGATTCTCAAGCTTTTATTAGCGAGAAATCGTGGTTGGAGCCATTTTTTTTTGCAAAAAACAGTAACGCCAAAATCTAAAATTAGTTGGGAAATAAGAGATTACGATCCATCATTTTCGTTTAATTCTATAAATAATTTATTGTACTAGTATACGCTTGCTGATAGCTGATACTTATTCTATTATGAGCTGTTTACACTTGTGCTGATTCACGAGCTGGTGAGTCTGTCGTTCACAGACTCATGGATATTAGCATGAGGAAACATTTTTTCGGAGCTAGTTAACATTGGCGCTTTAATTTCTGGCACAAAGTTGATCGGATTACACCAATTTGGGTTAATCAGCATTATGAAACAGGCAATTTAGATACACATCGAATTGTGATGAAGCAACTCGTTTTTCGTAAGGAAAAAGGAGATAAGAAAACGAATCATCACAAATTGTATGGGATCATATTACCTTCTATCGTTTCCTAACGAAGAACGAAGTGCAGCATCATTATTTGTTAAATAGGTTTACGGGCTGTGACTAAACTAGGTCTAGTCCCTCAACTAAGCCTATCAAGGAAATAAATCCTTTTTCAGCAATAAATCTTAATTTTAATGACACAAAAGTTCAAAAGGCTTATTTGAAATTGGGATCCACAAACGAATCACAATTACAATTACAAGTACAATTCGTTGTCTATTTTAATGAAAAACTGAAACGCAATTTGTGTTTCGATTAGTTTTGTCTGCGCTTTGCGCCGACACCTTCTTTCGCTGTTCTGTGCTCGCAGGAGAAACAACAAGTTTTTCGTTTTTTACAACGAGCAATCTCAAGGACAATTTTAGAGGGGGCGAAGTTACATCAATTGTTGATGGGGACAGTAGTCCAATATTTAATCTATGTTCCTGGAAATTTTCATGTGAAAATGGTATTTTTAGTAAATGATTATTGTGTTCAATTGTTACGGAAATGATAAGCTACGTTAGTGGCTTAGGTGTGTGGTATGTTGTTAGTGGAATTTCGTCTATAGATCAATTGTTTGTTGCATAATTATAATCGATGGCTGCCTATTGCACCCAAGTTAGGGACATGTACCCAATCTTTTAGGAAACTGTCTCAGATAAGAAAAACTAGTTTCTTCGAAAAAATCCTATATGGCTGCCAAAATCTCTTTCGAATGGTATGCAAATCAGTGTGGAGATAAATAATTTCACACTCAACAACGAGAACAGATAGACCAACTACTTGCATGAATTTGAATTTCGGCAAGACAAAATTCTATTGATCAAGGCAACCTCTGAGTATCGAAGTCATCATCTGTATTTCTTCATTATCGCCTATGTTGTTGTCAATATTAATATTCGTCTTCTTCTTGGTGGGGATGATTTTGATGATCAAATGCAAAATGATTATTTTCATTTTGAACAAATATAGCGTTGTATAATGTGTTGTGTTGGTTTTTGCACACAGATCGATGGAAAATTATTGCCTCATACTGAATTGATGATAATATCGACGTTTTAGCAACCGGTGGAAACAAACGATTTTAAATTGGGTCATTACTTGACTAGCCTATTGGTCCTAGTACATCTATAAGCATACCCCATTCTAGTCGAAGTTCTACTACAACGCTATGCTTGTTTTGATTCGCTATGAAAGTTTGACAGATAATATGAGGGGTTCGTGGGGTAAAAGTCCCCAAGAAGGGGGATCCAACTGTTTGCGACAACTGGCGAGGCATTATGTTACTGTGTATTGTTCTTAAAGTTCTGTGTAAAGTTATCCTCAATCGGATACAGGAGAAGATCGATGGGACTCTCCGACAACAGCAGGCAGGATTCCGTGCTGGAAGATCCTGTGTGGATTATATTGTCACGCTCCGCATCATCTTGGAGCAGGTCAATGAGTTCCAAGAGTCCCTGTACTTGGTATTAATTGACTACGAAAAAGCTTTCGACCGACTAAACCACGAAAACTTGTGGGGCGCTCTGAGACGCAAGGGAGTCCCTGATAAGATCGTCAACCTCATCGAAGCGCAGTACGAGGCTTTCTCGTGCAGAGTGTTGCACAACGGAGCTTTGTCTGACCCGATTCGGGTAATCGCGGGTGTGAGGCAAGGGTGTATATTATCACCGCTACTGTTCCTCATCATAATCGACGAGATCATGGTTGGAGCCGTTGACCGTGTACCGAACCGTGGGTTGATGTGGCAGCCTATTACCATGGAGCATCTCAACGACGGCGCTCTGACATGCAGAGTAAGCTCGACGACTTTGTGGAACGCTCCTCTGAAGCAGGTCTAATCATCAACGGCAACAAGACCATATTGTTGCATGTCAACACGGAAAACCGTTCCAATTTCACGGTAGCTGGCCAGGCAGTGGAGAAAGTTGAAAGCTTCCAATATCTTGCAGGCCAGATAGCGTCGGACGGTGGCACCAAGAGCGACATAGGTGCACGGATTAAGAAGGCGAGGGCTGCTTTTGCCAGTTTGCGAAATGTATGGAGAGCGAATCAGATCAGTCGACGCACCATAATCCGAATTTTTAACTCGAACGTGAAGTCTGTGCTGTTATACGTCAGTGAAACATGGTGTGTATCAGCGGAGAACACTCAGAAGCTGCAGGTGTTTATCAACCGATGCCTGCGGTAGATAATTCGTGCCTGGTGGCCCCACAATTGGATCTCAAATTCCGAGCTTCATCGTTTGTGCCATCAGAAGCCGATAGAGACAGAAATTCGTGAGAGGAAGTGGAGGTGGGACGGCCACACACTACGACGGAGCGGAAACGAAATCTGCAAGCAAGCACTGGACTGGAATCCAGCAGGACATCGCAGCAGAGGCAGACCCAGAGGCTCGTGGTGGTGGAGCCTAAACAGTGAAATTAAGAACGTTGACCAAAAATTGACCAAAGCCAAAGCTAGTAATCGCCCAGGATGGAAATCTTTCACAAAGGCCCTTTGCACCCCTGGAGATGCGCAGGATCGTTAAGTAAGTTCGTGGATTTTCCTATGTTTCGAGGGGTGCACCGATTAGCTTGGGACCGAAGATAGTAGCAGAGCTGAGCCAAAAAGTTGAGCACGTTTCTTCGGAACCTTCTGGTCTTAGAGTAACCTCTATGGTTTTAGGCTCTTCGGTCGACAATATTCAAAATAATCATTTTGGTCAAAATGAATTTGATTATGTTGCTTTTGAGGATCGCTTCTGATTTCCAAAATTTTGGGTTGGATAATCAAGCACCGATGAATATCAACAAACGCGTGTAGACGAGTGCACGGATGGATACGGGTTCACTCACTCGAGAAAGTTTGGCAGCGGGCAATGTTTACTAATCATGAACACTAAATAAACAGTTAGTGTTCATGATTAGTAAACATTGCCCACAGCTTGTGCCACATTTTCTCGAGTGAGTGAACTCAAATTCATCCGTGCACTCGTCTATTCGTTGATGTATCATGAACTCATTTGTTCATTTCACTCGTACGACAGCGAAGATTTTCAAAACAATCGCAATTCATCTAAACTGGGTTAAAGTGCTACACGGTTAGAAAAAAGTCCCCAAAAGTAAGTTATTTTCACTCATCTCGGCACTGTGCAGGAACCCAAAAGTAGGTAAAGCGGGTCAAAGTAGTTTTCATTTACTTGTGTGCAATTCGTATGGAATTTTCCACTAGCTTTCTACCCAAAAGTAAGTTAGTTGTACCCAAAAGTAGGTAAACATGATTATACGCAACGTTGGGTACCCACACTTTACTACCCCTGTTGGGTGGTTTTGCTCCTCTGTTTTTGACAACATTATAAGGAGAAAAGGAGACAAACTAGTCAAAAGTAAGTAAAAGGGAACTTCCCGTTGGGCACTTTTTTTTTACCGTGTACCGTGCTACTCCTTGCGTGTGATGGTAAATGATAAAACAGACACTGATGCAAATATTAGTATCTTATGCAAGAAAGTTTATAGATATAATAATATGAATTATCCAATAATCTGGAACCTCGAAAATGAGTGGATTAGTTTCAGCGAGAATTACTCTCCTAAAAAATTTATATTAGATTTTTTTTTATTTATATAGCATATTAGCCAAATTGATTTTTAACCCGCAGTCCACATTTTTTTCTAAAATCTTTAACTACAGGGCCATAGTGAAGAAGTTTTGACGGATTTGACATTTATGGACAGCCATCTACTCTATGTCAAGTCGTCAAACTCGCTTATTGATCAAATAGCAAGATAAATGGCGCTCCGAGATTTAGCGAACAAATGCGTCGAAAATCAGTCCAGAAATGGTTGTTTTTTTCTATTTCAAATGCTTCATTAAGAACTGATGGACAATATTTGCATATATTTTCATTTGCATACGGAAATGCTGGTCATCAAAAGCTTGTATAGGCATCAAAAACGTTTTGAATATGCCATAGGTCCAGGCCAAATAAGCTAGAGCAACTTTTTTTGTTTCAAAAAAGACAAAATCAATATAAAACGATATTTTCATGCATGCGTTAATACTGTAGAAGCCTTATCATGTAGATAGGTATAAGGGAACATGCATAAATGACGTAGCATTTGGGGAGAGGGGGGTTCAGATGTTGTGACCGGCATTTTGTATAGTAAAATAGGAAGGGGAGGGGGGTCTAAAATTAGCCAAAAATATGCTACGTCATTTATGGATGGTCCCTAACAATGGTTAGCCTTGGGATGCTCATTAATTTTTTTAGACTTATTTTTTTTGTTACATAGAACACGCATTATGTACGGCGATCATTTAACGACATCGTAAAATAAGCACAAAAAAGCAGATTGGTTTGCGTATATCCACGGAAAACTGATCAACGTGATAAATGAGGTTATTAGTCAACGATGGATTTTTTTTTTTCTTTTTTTTTTTTATTTTACATCCAATTTGTTCATGTTCATGTTCCGATCAGTTTCCGCATGTCATGCATCATATGCGTCAGCAGGATTTTTTGTTTGCGCACGGCAGCGTCTTATCTACCGGGGGATCTAGCAAAAGCACCTAAGAACCCTTCAAGAGTGTTACCATTTCCGCCTAGGAGACCACCCAGCCCTGCGCCAGCTTGTTGACCATGTGGAGTTCCAGCCGATGCCGAGAGGCCTCCGTGAGCCGTGTTGCCAGTCAGTATTCCACCCAGTCCGGCCTCAGCGTGGTATCCTCCGAAATTAACGCCGAATTTGCCGTCTTTGAATGTCAGCCACTGTGAATAGGAAAAGAGGAGAACAAGCGTTGAATTCCGGGTTGATTTTAACGTGTTTTGTTGAAAATCAACCACCAATGACTAATTAATCTTCGAGCTATAGCCACATAGCGAAACTAATTCAATGCGACCTCAGTGACAGGCATTTAATGATAGAAATCTTAGGCAGAAAACGGAAATAAAGCTGCGGCGCCTTGTACCGTTTGTTTATGTGTTTGATTCAGTTGCAACCTGCATCGGGTCTCAATATTGGGTCTGCCTGGTTTCGTCAGTTTGATCGTTTGCTGTTAAAACATATCTCAGGTCAAGGTCGCCCTGACAATAAGTTCGCTTTCGCGTACAAAAAATTGATATATGTAAGTGTATGAAGCCCATTTTGAGTTCGTTCAAACGTCCGGCGTTTGCTTTGTTTTGAGTTAAATCTTCAATCAGTCATCATTTTTCTACACATAGTCCATGTTGCATGAGTGTGTCACGATTGAGCTGTTCAGTATCGCCTAGTAATTAATGCGTCATAGCAGTATCTACCAACAGCAAATTTTCCGTTATAACTAACCCTTCCAGTAGCTTTGTGTCAGCTTCCCGGTGTTATTTAAAGACAACGTATGTATGACAGTGCATAGCAGGTTTAATTTTTCTATATGGTAATTATCTTTTTTATCATTACTATTCTCCTTCGATTGAACGTTCAATGTCAACGGCAGTCACTTTTTACTTGTTTGCTTCCATCTGTTAGCCTTGCTCGAGAGAGCTGCAGAACCTGATTTTAACGGAGTCCAGTGATTCGAAATCATTCGTACCGGAAAGGTTCATGTTCATCAGTATGAGTTGGTTGCGAAAATATAGACTGGATCAAGAAAGTTGACCCGTTTATGCCGTTTGAATCATTGTTGTTGACCGTAAAGATGCTTACAACGTACCTATAACTCAGCACGTGGAAAAAATTTCAAATCCTAATTCGCGTTAGAACAATGGTAGATTTATGTCTGGTCTATTCCGCATGCATTATTATTCCACTAAAGCTCAGAAAACGCGGTGAGAATATGTTATTATCATATTGGGGCAGTACAGAATTTTACCCACCACGAACCTCTTTCTCTTTGTCATTGCATAACTCGAAACGATTATAATCTGTAGCATGCGGTGAGAGAATAAGTCCTCAAAAGCGATTTGTTTTTAAATTTGAAATTGGACACTTTGAAAATTATCAGATTGTTGTTAAACCTTCCACGCCCAGTTCAGGATTAAAAAAAATCAGAAAAGAAGTTTTTTTTTATTTCTTGCATTAAAATTTTTGTATGTGGACAGTTCTAAATTTCTCAATGCAACGCAGTTCATTACTTTAAATATAAATTCAATTCATTAAATATTTAATTACTACCAAAACAGAAGAATTTAAAATACCTTCATTACTCTTAAAAGACCTTTCCAGACATTAATTATCGTTAAATGTTTGATGATTACTTTCAATACTAGGTATACAAGTATACCCAATTAACAATGTTCGCAATATAAACGCTATACTCATTTCATTTATTCAGCCTCAAGCTGTATTCAAACGTTATACGATATGAGGAAACCTTTACTAAACACCTCTATACAAGCAAATCTGGCGAACTTAGTCAGATACTTTTGGCTGTTGGGACAGTTGGAACAAGCTCTTCCCAACTAACATTTTCAGCTTTGTAAGCCAACTTTTGCAGCGTTGTGCTGTAAAGTAGCAGAAAAAAGCCGCAGATACAGCTACAAGCAGAAGTATGCAAAATTGCTCAACTTTTTCAAAACCACTATTCAATTTTCCAGTCTCACTGAATAACAACAGGCAATAAACGCTAATGTCACTTTTAGACACATCCTAATCAACTTTCAACTTGTAGCTGCAACACAAAGCTAATAAAGTGAATATTTTACTCATTTGATGGCTTTTACACAACCAACCACTCTTGCTGAATAACATAAACATCAAAAGTGTTATTTCAACAACTAAAAAACCTGTACTCAGCTAATAAACTGTGTTAGCGCTACTTTGAACGCATTTTTACAGTCAGCTAGGTTTGTTTTTAAACGTTTGAAGATATACAGCTTTTACTCTGCTTCTTTACAAAGGTGAAGTAACTAGAAGAGAAAAGTGAGTCATGTGCACTATTATAAAGCCTCAACTCAGCGATTTTGTTGTAGACGGGCATGTTGATTTTTTTTACATCATTTCAAAGTGTTGGCGTAGCACAGTTGGTAGTGTCAAGGATTTCGAAATACGGTCGTCTCGAGTTTGATTCCAGATTCCGGTTCAGGATATCTACATTCTGTTTAGTTATTCTCTGAAACTCTGAAACTCTGGCTGCTTCAGAGCCTTGCGCTTGGGGCATGACTTCATTCGGTGTCCCTTCAGCGTACACTATAATCCCTTCTCATTGAGGTGGGAATTTCGTTTTTAACATCCATATATACACCACATGGTGGTGGTGTTGCTTGTAACCAATTTGGATTAATTTGATTTACAGCCAAATATAAACTCCATAAATTCCTCGATCAAAAAATAGCGTAAACAATATTTATCCCGGCTTCAAGACAAAGCTGTGTAGTGATTATTGGATTAACCGGGAAAAGGTTGAATAAGCGCCTTTCAAGTCCACACACAACTAAACAGCAGGATAACAGCTGTATAGAAGCGTTAAATGATATGCAATAAGAGCTTGTCCCAACCGTCCCAACAGCCATAAGTAGCTGACTAAGTTCGCCAGGTTTGCTTGTATAGAGATTGAGTAAAGGTTTCCTTATATCGTATAACGTTTGAATACAGCTTGAGGTTGAATAAATGAAATGAGTAAAGCGTTTACATTGTGAAAATTGTTAGTTGGGTTATTGCATATCCATTTACGCTTATATACTGTTATCCTGTTGTTTAGTTGTGTGTGAATTTGAAAGGCGCTTATTGAACCCTTTCCCGGTTATCATCAAGCCTCGACACTACCAACACTTTGAACTGATGTAAAAAATCTACCTGCCCTTCTACAACAAAATAGCTGAGTACAGGCATTATAATAGTGTACATCCATCCTTTTTTTTCGACATGATACTACAACTTTGTAAAGGAGCAGAGTAAACGTTGTAAAACTGCACACGACTACAAATAAACCTAGTTGACTGTGAAAATGCTTCCAAAGTAGCGCTAAAACAGTTTATGGTCTGAGTACAGGTTGTTTAGTTGTTGAAAAAGCATTTTTTATGTGTATGTTATTCAGCAACCCAACAAACAATTCATAGTCACAAATAAGCATACATATTGAATAAATGCTGTATAACAGTGTACAATGCTGAATAAAACAGGATGTTTAATTATGTGCTGAAAAAAGCTCATTGAAATCGATAGACGCGCCTTTATTCCGCTGTTTGCTTTGATATGATTAATTTTCTTATTAAAATTATTAACGTTGACTGGCTTCCTGATTCAGAACCAGAAGTTTGATCTAATAACAAACTGAATAAGCGTGATTTGCACTACATTGACACTTTAATTCGAAAGTTTTGAATTGATTTAATAACATGCTTTATTAGATGCTAATATTTGTTTTGTATCTCCATTATTAGATTTCATTGCATTGCTTTATAATATTACTGAATAAAGATGAATTCAGTCAGCATAATAACTCTTATACCACCATGCATCTATGTTGCAATCGCATGCTTTGTAAATGCTTTATAAACGACGTATTAGATTCATTATTCGACAACACTGGTTCAGTCTAACAACAAGACGAAATCAGTAGAGTATTGGTTGCCGTTTCCGTCGAGAGTTCGAGAGTTCAATCCCAACATCAACCCTTTTTTTTATTTGTGTTTTAAACCGTAATTTAACGATCACATCACTCACGACAACAAATTCATTGATTTAGTTTAATAAATAACCCAGCATCCTTTCCTTGGAAATTGGAGAGGTAAAGAAGTAGAATTGGTCTCATGTAAAACAACGATGAATGAATGAAAGATTCCCACTGGACCGACTGCGACGATCGGGAGTGCTGATAGGTATTCAGTTTCAAGCAGGCTTTTACTGAATATTGAGCAGCTTATATGATTTATTCTAGGATAGCTCAGTTGGCAAGGATAGCGGCTGGTGATCGGAAAGTACATGGTTCGAATTCCAAACAACGGACATTTGATAAATTTTCTAATATCTGTGTTGGTGGTGCGTGCTTCGTTAAAAATAATGAAAACAATCACTAAAGAAAATAACTGTCTCTACCTCTACCGTTCTTTATTTTCGGGATAATTTTCCTGAAGTTGAATAATCGTTTAATAAATGTATAAAAGCGTCGAATTTAATTGTAACTTCACATGATAATCAAGCGTATACATCATCACAAATATGTACAATAAACGCATAATAATAAAACATTTGATCGAATAAGCTCTGTTACAACTCATGGAAGTCAAATAAAAGCTTATCGACATACCTTAACAAGACACCATGTTGTGGTTGAATAAATTCTCCAGATTTGTGTGAACAAAACCTGAACCGAAGTTATTATTAAAAAATGTACAATTATTATTAAGCATGCAGTTGAATAAAATCGTCAAGAAGTCGTTTCTTCAATAGGCGATTGTTTGTTGGGAAGAGTGATTGGTTGTGTAGAAGACATCAAATGAGTAATATATTCACTTTATCAGCTTTGTCTTGCAGCTACAATTTCAAAGTTGCTTAGAATGTGTATAGAAGTAACAAATGCGTTTATTGGGTGCTGTTATTCAGTGTAACTGACAAATTGAATAATGGTTGTGAAAAGGTTTAGTAAACGCTCTCCAAAACTATGTTGATAGCTTCTGCTTGTAGCTGTACCTGCAGATTTTTTTCAGCTACTTCACAGCACAAGGCTGGAAAAGTTTATTTATAAAGCTGAAACTATTAGTTAGGTATAAATTCCAATAAATACTGTGCCCAAAGTATTTTAATTTCTATAGCTGTGTTTTCAATACCACGCACACAAACCGAAAAGTGCGCA